CAGAGCTGCAGCTTTCCAGCTTGCAGCTGAACACTTCTACAACAACAGCAGGCAGAGCACAGATTTTAACCTGGTGAGGTGTGATTGCGATGTTGCGCAGGTGCGTCCACCTTCCCTGCTGCGGCCGACCACGCCCCACAACATACACAAATTAACAATATAAAAACCATAAATATATAACAATACCAATTAATATATAAGACTAATCAAGCTCTCAAGATTTTTATTAGATGTTCATGGCATTTCAACTTACATGACTGAATGAACTGAATAGAGGTAAAGGGGCCAGGACATTCACTTTTACTTATTTTGATTGTCTGATTTATGTACGGTGATTTTACACAACAGATTCCCTTTCAAGAACTTCCTAAAAGTCTTGTCACGAATGCCGTAGATTATGGGGCTGATGGATCGTGGCAGTATTTGAACTGTAACATAGATCACGAAGAGGGAATCAGTGTAATTCGTAGGAAACCATTTCTGCAGAGCATTTGTTAGGTGGGGAGCTGCATATGTTGCCATGCACAGCAGCAGCTGAAACCCGTGCAGGAGGATTGTGTTTTTGGCTTTCTTGGCATCTTTGCTTGCTGTTTTGGCAGTGAATAGGATCTTTAGGTATGTGTAAATGATAGTAACCCAAACTATAACTAGAAACACTCCATATGTGATATCCCTCTTCTGGATGATGAGGGGATGTGGAAAGACAATGTTTCTGAGACAAAACACACGAGAATGAAAAAAATCCAGGGGTTCTGTGGCCAAGGTGATGAATAGATCAGGAAGGACAGACAATGTTGTGCTCATCCAAATTAAACTGATCAAGATTAAAGTTCTTTGGACAGTGCAAATCTGAACATGACGCAAGGGGAAACAGATGGCTATGTAGCACTCCACTGCCATGCAAGCCAGGTTCAGAGGGGAATTTTCAGTGGTGAAGAGAGCGAGCAACGTAAAGATGGAGCAGACGGAGACATTGAGTTTGTAGATGGTGTAGCTGATGATGAACAGGATGGCAGTCAGCATCACTTGGACCATGTCATTGATCACCAGGTGAATAAAGAGGACATATCTGGGATTCTTGTAGAAAATCTGGAGAGGTATAGAAAGACAATGTTTTAAAACAATTCTGTTTAGGCAACACGTTTAAAATGTTCAATTTTGAAAGGCAAGACATCTTTGCTTTGGATAGTGCCCCTACAACCACAAGCAGTAGAAAAGGGTGGATATCGTCAAATGGTGCAATTTCTTAAGAGACATGTAGACACCGTTTCCACGGATACTGGTTGCATCTCATCATTATGCGTGAGATGTCATTTAGCACTGATGCTTTGACACACTGGTTGTGTCTCCAGATTAGTTTTGATTTTGTATGATTTCAACTTTGTACAGGTCATCCTGCTAAAGAGATCGGATTTCACTGGGACTAATAATAATAATAATAATAATAATAATAATAATAATAATAATAATAATAATAAGGGATTACATTTATATAGTGCTTTTCGAGAACCGCTTTACAATTCCACTATTCATTCACTCTCACATTCACACACTGGTGGAGGCATCTACAGTTGTAGCCACAGCGAGGCTGCCATATCGCGCCATCGGCCCCTCTGTCCTTTATGGTTATTAAAGGTGAATAAATGCAAATAATGAAGGCGTTTGCAGATGTAATTGTAGCTGCATAACTGAAAGGATTCTCTAAGATGTATTTCCTGTTTAAAGCTTCATGCCTGATTACATAAGTGGTCATGGAAGAAAGACTACATGACCTGGTGTTTGCAGAACGTGTGAATGAGGTTGACATTGATGTAGCTGATGGAGATGCCAAGGAACACGACAATCAAATTCTTGGTCACAGCTTTAGCAAATGAGTCTCGATACTGTAAGACTACAGTCACATTGCCAGATGATGCATTCATCTCTTGACAGCTGAAAAGAAACAATAAATATTATATTTTTAAGTAATAAGTAATATCCACTGAGTAATTCACAAGTGCATGAAAATAAAGATTTTAAAGATTTTAAATTTGTGATTAGAGTGGTAAAAGTGGCAATTTGTCCTTTTGGCAAACACATTAACTGACAAGTACATCTCAGTACAAGTTCACTGAGATGGTGAAAAAGTCTGCAACCATCAGTCTAGAAAAGCTTTACATAAGCAGCTTGGGACAACTGTTGCTGTGATTTGCTTCTATATTAAGAAAATGTCATTAACCAGTTACTTACAATGCTATCATAATTTCATCATTTTATCATTATGTCACTTTTAAATATCAAGGCTATCATGACATCCCTACAAGTTATGAATTCATCACTGTAAAAGATGACGTTCTAGCTACAAAAAACAACATTGTGAGATAAATGTTAGAGAAATTCAAAAATAAAAAACCCACACAATTTAAAGAAAATTAAAGAGCCCTTGTTGAGTTGCAGGTATTGGCCCCTTATGGTAAAGTTACTTTGAAAAGGTAATCATCATGATAATACTAGTAATATTAATAATACTAAAACAACCAGAGACAATTTTATAATATAAAATAAAAAATAAACATACATGAACATT